TCATTTCGTGGCAAACACCACCAATACTTAGTTGCATGAGTAAACTTCTGTAGATGCAACCCTGGGCAACGTCCTTGCAGACGGCCAATTCTCTCACACCAGAAGCAACTTGCAGTTTCTCAAGTTGCTCCTGACATGAAAACAAAGTGTCAGTGCTGTACCTTAACTCTTATCAAAAGAGGAACTATCCTCATGTTTGAGTAGAGTGGCAAATAGCAAGAGCTTTGTCCATCCTGGGAAACTCTAAAACAGTGGTTCTCAACCTTCCTAATGCCATGACCCCTTAATACGCTTCCTCATGTTATGGTGACCCCCAACCATAAAATTAGTTTCACTGGTGGGATTGGGGGAGGGTATTGATTTTGTCCTGTGGAAGTTGTAGTTGCTGGGACTTATAGTTCACCTACAATCAAAGAGCATTCTGAACTCCACCAACGATGGAATTGAATCAAACTTGGCACACAGAACTCCCATGACCAATAGAAAATACTGGAAGGGTTTGGTGAGCATTGACCTTGAGTTTTGGAGTTGTAGTTCACCTACCTCCAGAGAGCACTGTGGACTCAAACAATGATCATTCTGGACCAAACTTGGCATAAATCCTCAATATGCCCAAATGTAAACACTAGTGGAGTTTGGGGGAAATAGACCTTGATATTTGGGAGTTGTAGTTGCTGGGATTTATAGTTCACCTACAATCAAAGAGCATTCTGAACACTACCAACGATTGAATTGGGCCAAACTTCTCACACAGAACCGCCATGACCAACAGAAAATACTGTGTTTTCTGGTGGTCTTTGGTGACCCCTCTGACACCCCCTCGTGACCCCTCCAGGGATCCCGACCCCCAGGTTGAGAAATACTGCTCTAAAAGAAACAACAACCTTCTCCCCTCTCTCCATTGTGACACCATTTCTTGCCTTTCTGAATGCTTGGGTTGGGAGTTGGTGTTGGTGGCCAAGTGCAGCTGACCCTCTGAGTTGGCTTGGTACTTTCCCCTCTCCAGAATGACTTATCCACAGGTTATACAAAAAATACATAATTTTGGTTTCCAAACCTGCCCTCAACTTATGCAAGAGTATATACCGTTCATGAGTATATATAGTAATTGTAGCAGGCATGCCATAGTATGTTACCCCCCATTTTTGGCACACTTCTCAACCAAAGCTGAGAACTGGGCATAGCGGGAGACACTTGATCATTTGCAGTCGGTCTTACAGAACCAGCCATTCATTCCATACTGTAGACTCGGTTAATTATTTACCCCTCCATCACCCTGTGTGCTGTGTTTATGTGTGTTCCCATATGTCACTCCTGGCTCAGCATTGTCCATCTGTCAGTCCCGCGATAAGAGCTGTAGCGACGGGCAGACTTTTATGGCTTGTCTCTATTGCAGCGTTACAGGGAGAGATACAATAAATAGGCTGTGCTTTCATGTCAAGGTTTCACCAAAGCCTTTTGTTCTGGCTGATTTCTTTGGGGATGGTGCAGAAATGTTGCATGGCTGAGTTGGAGAGTCCCTTGGCTTTTCGTTTAAGAAGCAAACCTATATTTTGTTTTCCCCTTACACTCAGCCCTCCACATTCATCACGGTTGGGATACAGGGCCCCAATGAAAGTGAAAAACTGCAAGTAAAGAAATACCCCTTTTATGCAAAAGAACACATCCAGGAATGTCTAGGTCTATGGACACCCTCTGCTGGACTTTAACCATAGCACTGCAATTTTTGTGAAATCTTTTTTCCCTTTTTTCCATGTCAGAAGTGATTTGAGAAACTGCAAGTTGCTTCTGGTGTGAGAGAATTGTCCGTCTGCAAGAACATTGCCCAGGGGACACCTGCATGTTTAATGTTTTACCATCCTGTGGGGGGCTTCTCTCATGTCACTGTCTAGGAAGCTAGAGCTGATAGACGGGAGCTCACACCGCTCCCCGGACTTGTACCGCCGACGTGTCAATCAGCAGTCCTGCCAGTTTAACCCATTGCACCACAGGAGGCTCCATTGCATTGCATTGGAGAACCTACAGATTGCTAGAGGGGTGTTCTATCTAGAAATCAGCATGATTGGAGATAGTTGACCATTAAGTCATACTGGAGGATATAAAAATTTCCAGAATTTTTAAAAATCAAATCCCTGAATAATCACCAAAAGTCTAAACCACAATATGTAGGGGTGGCTATATGCCCATCCTCGGACGCGAAACCTCTGGCTAGATTTAAAAGACCATTTGAAACTGCATTATATGGTCAGTGTATACCTATATAATGCAGTTTGGCTGAATTGAACTGAGTCTACAGTGATCACATAATTCAGTTTCAAACTGTGTCAAATAGCAGTGCAAATCCTGTCCACATTACAATTTCCTTTCCTTTTTAAACTCAGTGACACACTTTCGCAATTTTAAACTTGATGTAATGGTTGTATGAGCTTCCCTCTTTTGATGGTTATGAGATACAGGTAATAGTTGGGCAATTATATACTTAGTAAGTTTTTTAGCTGATCATTTCAACAATAACAACAACAAACAGGTTTTGAGTGGAGAGAGAATGAGATATGGCATTTCTCAGGCTTCTGGTTAAATCACTGAGCTGTTGAACTTGCTGACCAAAAGGTTGGCAGTTCGAATCCAGGGAGTGAGGTGAGCTTCCGCTGTTAGGCCCAGCTTCTGCCAAACTAGTAGTATGAAAACATGCAAATATGAGTAGATCACTGGGTACCGTTTCTGCGGGAAGGTAACGGCACTCCGTGCAGTCATGATGGCCACATGACCTTGGAGGCATCTATGGACAATACTGGGTCTTAGAAATGGAGAGGAGCACCTAATGTCAGGAGAAACCTTTATTTATTTATTTATTTATTTATTTCGGGCACTTCTACCCCGCCCTTCTCAACCCCCAAGGGGGGACTTTTTGGTCGTGTCAGGAGCGACTTGAGAAACTGCAAGTCGCTTCTGGTGTGAGAGAATTGGCCGTCTGCAAGGACGTTGCCCAGGGGACGCCCGGATGATTTGATGTTTTTTATCATCCTTGTGGGATTCGAAACTGCGAACTGTCAGTCTTCAGTCCTGCCAGCACAGGAGTTTAACCCACTGCGCCACCAGGGCTCAGGGCGGCTTACAACCGGCACAATTCGATGCCAACAGTTCAACAAATAAAATACATAACAGCAATAGCCACAATAGTTAAAAACTATCAATTAATACAATAACAACTAAAAAGCCAATCTAGTTGCCAAACGTTCACCGAGTTCTAAAATCCATAAGTCCATTCAGCATTACCATAGTACTTTCCAAATTCTGGTCGTCATTACCTTGTCAGTCTGCCAGATTACCCAAAGGCCTGGTCCCATATCCATGTTTTCAGCTTCCTTCTGAAGGAGAGGAGGGATGTTGATGACCTAATTTCCCCGGGGAGTGAATTCCACAGGTGAGGGGCCACCACTGAGAAGGCCCTGTCCCTCGTCCCTACCAGCCTCACTTGTGATAGAGGCGGAGCCGAGAGCTGAGCCTCCTGAGAAGATCTTAAACTCTGAGGTGGGACATAGAAGGAGACCTTTACCTTTACCTTACATTGATTGAACAGTATTATATGAGTCTACATTGGCCAGATGCTACGGTATCAAACTGCGTTATATGGCAGTGTAGATAGGACCTACGTCCTATCTACGCCCTTTGTCCTCTGGCAAAGACATACGGCCAGTAGTATGTCTTTGCCAGAGGACAAAATTACTTCTCCAAATAGGTATCCTCCCTGAAATTTTCTCTAGGTTTCCCAATTTTTTTACATTGCAGCGAGTGAGACATTGAAAATTATGAGCACCTAGAACTCTTATCTTTGCTGTGTTTTCATTGGTAATGTTGTCTGGCCTTCTTATGTGCAAATTTAGGGGTTGCAGGAAAATTTCATTATTGTAGATGGCAAGAATTTGGAAGAGCAGTGCTATCATATGGTCACTACCTCCTATAGATACACCCCTGGGCACGTACAAAATGAAATGTTCATGCACATTATATGGCATAAAGGAATAAAGGATGGGATCAGAGGTGGCCCTAGGTAATTTTCAATGGTAAGCAAACAGTATTTTGGCACCCCCTCCCCCAACCAATCACTGATATATATTTTCTGTTCGTCATGGGAGTTCTGTGTGCCATATTTGGTTCAATTCCATCATTGGTGGAGTTCAGAATGCTCTTTAATTGTAGGTGAACTATACATCCCAGTAACTGCAACTCGCATATGTCAAGGTCTATTTTCCCCCAAGAGCACCTCAAGAGCGCCCCTGGGCAAAATCAATTATACTGCAAATGCTTACTTTGCGTAATGGGTTGAGCTGCTCCTGGATTTATAGTGTATCCCATAGAGTATCTGTGCGACTGCTATCCACCCAGTGAGATTTTAGGCTGAGCTGATTATACAGGTCTGCAATGAAATACTTGTTTCCAATACTGAAGTTGTTTTGTAAATGATTTTTACATGTCAAATGTGAAAAACACAATTTAAAAATCACTGTACACAGAGCTCTTTTTTTTTCTAATTCAGTAGTTACTTCGTTTTGACTAAGTGCTGACCCTGATGTTCTAGTGTGATATCTTTTAGTGCTTTTGAACAGATCTGCTAATTAAAGTGTTTTTAAAGTCTATTGATAGACTTTAATGTCTTTTGTACTGTTTGCTCTTTACTCCAAAAGGAAAACATCGGAGCAGGTGGTTGAAAAAAGGATTATATGTGATGGAGCAAAACTGGGTCATTTTGGGGTTTAGAATAATAATAATAATAATAATAATCATCATCATCATCATCATCATGCCAAATATCTATTGAAACAGCCTACACTTAAAGAAAAAACATTTTATGACCCTCAATTAGTTAGGAAAGCAGGTGTTGAGTGGGGAGAGAATGGTGATGTGAAATATCTCTGAGTTGTAATTTTTGAAATGTTGTTGAGGAAAAACAACAACCTCATTTCAATGGAAATTAAATGTCCTTCTTATTCTGTCCGCAGGTAGACCCCTTCCGTTCCTGGTCCTTTATCCAAAGGGATGGAAAATTCTTCTGTGGCGTCTGCCTCATCCGAGGCAGGGAGTAACCGTTCGCAGGAGATCGAGGAGCTGGAGCGCTTCATCGACAGCTACGTTTTGGAGTACCAAGTCCAAGGCTTGCTAACCGACAAGACGGAAGGAGACGGGGAGAGCGAGAAAACGCAGTCAAACGTCTCCCAGGTTGGCACAGGATGGGGTTTTGCTTTGCTTTCCTGTCAGATTCTTTTTAGTTTTCATCACCCTCAACAACAATAATAATTTCTTACCCGTCTGAAGCAGGGAAGAACAGATCAACATTAGACATTGTGTGCCTTTGAATTGTCAATCTGGCGACCCTATCATAAGGTTTCCTTGACAAGATTTGTTCAGAGGAAGATTGCCTTGCCTTCTTCTGAGGCCGAGGCCCCTTCTACACTGTCATAAAAAGTCCAGATTATCTGCTTTGAACTGGATTATATGGTAGTGTAGACTCCTATAATCCAGCAGATAATGTTGATTATCTGCTTTGATCATCAGGATTATATGGCAGTGTAGAAGGGACCCTAGAGAATGTGATCGGTCATTCGGTGGGTTTTCAAGGCTGCACTAGTCTCCAGAGTCTTAGGGTGCATCTACTCTGTAGAATGAATGTGGTGTGACACAGAGCAAGATCCCCTTAGACACCACACAGCTGAGTTAAAATAGCAAGCAGTTTATTGAAGGTAATAAAAGCCACAGCAATAAAAAGTAATCCACAATAAAAAGGTAAATCCCATTGATTAGAAAGAAAAAAAAAAGGAGCAGTTAATCCAAAGAGAAATAATCCAAAGAAGTCCATGAGACTAGAGGCTTGATTTCAGAGGCAAAATAGCAGCAAAGGCACTTAACACAGGAATCAAACAAGGACAAAGGTCCAGGAACTTGGCATGAAGAAGTTATCATGAATCCAACATTGCTTCGTCTGAAGCTAGACTCAGTACTTGGCACTTATAGTCCTCCTTTGTTTCTTGAACAGCTAAGAACAGATTTTTCCTTAACTTTGGTTTTACTTCTAGCTTCTGCTCAAATCTGGCTGAGTGCCTCAATTTCTGATTTGTTTCTCTTTGCTGGCTAAAAGCGCTTCTTCTTCTGTTCGAGGCTTCATTAAAATCTGCACCTGGAGATCACTGACCAGGGGACTGCAGCGCAGAGCCTTTCCCAAACTCAAGACCCTAACCCTAACCCTAACCCATCAACTGAAGTGCATGCAGGCCCCACATCTTTAAAACCAGAACTAGGAAACAGACCATCATCCCCATTCCCTTCAGGAACATCTTCATGGAAATCATCTCCATTCCCATCAGAGGAATCAACTTGAACATGGACAACATTGTCATTCCCACCATCCAAAGCAACGTGATCATTTGACACAACATTGCTATTCCCATCATTCAAAGCAACCTGATCATTAGACACAATCACAGGCTGAACAAGCTGACATACAACAGACACTCCCTTAACTGTCATGGTTCAGTGCTATGGAAACATGGGAGTTGTGGTTTTACAAGCTCCTTCTCTGCCAAAGAATCCTGGTTCCTCCCCAGTTACAACTCCTAAGATTCCATAACATTGAGCTCTGGTGCTAAATATTTGTAATCCAGATTACTTTTGCTGGTGTAGACCAGCCTTCGTCTCAAGACCAGAAGACAATTCTCCTTCTGAAATCATTCTACACCTCTGATGCTCATTGTTAACATCAGCATCCCTTCAAACCAGTGACTTCCCATAAGTGCCTTAATGTTTCCATCTTTTTATAGTGGACAGCTGACTGTAATGAACAGATAGAGGGCACTGGTTCATCCTCCAGAGGCAGGGGCATAGCACCTCCGCATCACAACCAGGTAAGGTGCATGAGATATCCCCACCAGAAATGAGCATGCTTCATGATGGTGTCTTGTGTGTTTCCACCAGCATGCAAACCTCAAGGTTCGTACTGATGCCTTGAACTCCTTGACATGAAACTGAACAATTACCTTATGCTGATTGAAGCCATTGGTCCATCTTGGCCAATAGTCTCAACTTTGCAATGATTTTTTTGTGTGGTTCCAAGCAGAATCCATGCCTAGCTCTACATGGAGATCTCTGGCTGTCCAATTAATCTCCCACCCAAGTATTAACCAAACTTGATCTTTTTTTAGGTTCCAAAACCAGATGTGTTCAGGGTGGCACTGCTTCAAGGAAAGATTTGTGAGCATGATGTTTGGTCACAGATATATATTTATTTACCCTATTTATACCTTGCCTTTCTCCACCCCAAGGGAGACTTACATATGGCAGTTATTCAATGCCTTAAACACATACAACATTAAGCTTAAAATCCATTGAATTAAAATTAATACATATTTAAAAAATTAAAATTACATTCAATATTAAAATCAAACCATCCAAAAATCGTAGTCTGAGGCCATTCCATAGTCATTGCACATATCCGAACGCCTATTCCCGGAGCCAGGTTTTTACTCTCCTTCTGAGGGATAGGAGGGAGGGGGCTACTCTGATTTCACTGAGGAGGGAGTGCCACAGCCAAGGGGCCACCACTGAGAAGGCCCTGTCTCTTGTCCCTACCAGTCCTGCTTGCGAAGGAGGTGGGACCAAGAGCAGGGTCTCCCCAGAAGATCATAATCTCCAAGATGGTTCATAAAGGGAGATACATTACTTACTTACTTACTTAGGCGAACCCTCGTTGGCTGAGTACGATAGTCTTCCAGGATCAGTATTCTTGTGGGTCTGTAGGTGACTGTGGAGCCCTATTCTTGACCTGCATCTTCTCCCACAGTGAGGGCATTTGTTTCCAGGTGGAAGGCGGTCCCGGTCAGGGTTGGCTTGACATGCCTTCCTCTTGGCATATTTCTTTCACCCTCCATTCGTGCCTCTTCAAATTCTGCAGCACTGCTGGTCACAGCTGACCTCAGCTGGAGCGCTCAAGGGCCAGGGCTTCCCAGTTCTCAGTGTCTATGCCAGAGTTTTTAAGGTTGGCTTTGAGCCCATCTTTAAATCTCTTTTCCTGTCCACCAACATTCTGTTTTCCGTTCTTGAGTTCGGAGTAGAGCAACTGCTTTGGAAGACGGTGGTCGGGCATCCGGACAACGTGGCCGGTCCAGCAGAGCTGATGGCGGAGGACCATCGCTTCAATGCTGGTGGTCTTTGCTTCTTCCAGCACGCTGACGTTTGTCCACCTGTCTTCCCAAGAGAAGGGAGAGATACATACAGACAGGTAAACTGTGCTGGAACCATTGAAGGCTTTATAGACTAATGTCCTAAATGGTTTGAATTGTGCTTGGTAGCAGATTGGCAGGCCAGTGGAGTTGACGTAACAGGGGGGTTGTATGCTTCCTGTACGCTGCTCCAGTGATCTGTCTGGCTATCGCCCATTGGACCAATTGGAGCTTCCGAACAGTCTTCAAAGGCAACCCCACATAGAGCGTGTTGCAGTAATCTATATGGGATGTAACGAGAGCGTGGACCACCGTGGCCATGTCTGACTTCCCAAGGTACGGGCGTAATTGGCACACAAGTTTTAGTTGTGCAAAAGCTCCCCTGGCATCCGCCAAAACCAGGGGTTCCAGGCTCAGCGATAAATCCAGGAGAACTCCCAAGCTGTGAACTTGTGCCTTCAGGGGGAGTCTAACCTCTAGGCCTGTGCGGTTTCGTTCGTTAATTCGTTAATTCGTTAAACATTCGTTAATTTTTGCATTTACGGTACGATAACAAAACATATTTCCAAACCCGGAAGGGTTTTTAAATATCGAAACGGCAACTCCCACAGTATTTACGAGCTTTCGCCCGTTTTGTAAATGGGGCGGGCGGGGCCTCCGCGCCTCCGCGCGCCATCCAACCGGCCTCCGCGCGCCATCCAATCGGCTCCGGCTCCTGCGCCCTCCTCCTCCTCCTCCTCCTCCCAGCTGTGTTGCAGGAAGCCGAGGATGGCAGGAGGAGAGAGGAGGGCGCAGGAGTCCGGAGCCGTGTTTGGATGGCGCCTCGCAAGCGCGCTCAACTCCTATACTACCGTGGCCTCCGCTGCGCCATCCAATCGCGTCGTTCCCTGCGCCCTCCTCCTCCTCCTCCTCTCCTGGACACATCGAAGCTTCCCTGCAACACAGCGTGGGAGATGCAGAAGGGAGGAGGAGGGCGCAGGTAGCTCGGTCGTGCCTGTAATGGATGGCGCGCGCTTTCAGCGCTCCGTCACTTCCTTACAGATACACCGATCATCACTCACGCGGCAGCCATCAATCGGCTTCCGGCTCCATGCCGCCCTCCTCCTCCTCCTCCTCTACCTCCTCCCCAGCTGTGTTGCAGGAAGTGCCAGGAAGGAGGAGGAGGAAGGAGGAGGGCGCAGGAGCCGGAGCGGATTGGATATGGCGCGCGAGGCCGGTTGTCTCTTTAAGGCGCCTCTCCCAGCTGTGTTGCTGCTGCAGGAAGTGCCAGGAGGAGGAGGAGGAGGAGGAGGGCGCAGGAGCCGGAGCCGGAGCGCAGGAGCCGGGGAGGGGATTCCTGCAGCGCCGGCTCTGCCTCCGTGGCCCGCCTGAGATGAGACCAATACCATCTTGAAGGCTGCATCCAGGCTCTTTTGCTGTGAGTTTTCTTTTCAGGGCTGTATGTTGACCATGTTCCAGAAGCATTCTCTCCTGACATTTTGCCCACATCTATGGCAGGCATCCTCAGAGGTCTGTTGGAAACTAGGCAAATGGAGAGTTTATCTATGGAATGTCCAGGGTACGAATAACGAAGCTTGTTTTACGCATGTGCGGGGGTCCGCCATCTTTACAAAATGTTTTGTAAATATTTACGAAATTTCGTAAATACCAAAACTTTTTTTGGGGGGAAAATTTTGTAAATATTTTAAATATCGAAACAAAAAAACACCCCAATTACAAATCGATTTTAGAAACAATTTTTTTCTTGATCAAACAGGCCTACTAACCTCATCTAGCACAGGCTGTAACCCTACACCTATTTGACCTTGCAACATAATACCCTCCCTCTTAACTTCACCTGAATTTTCAGTACCAGTGTGAGATTTCTAGCCAGCATTTTTCTAAAGTGATAACTCCAAAAGTTTTCCTCCAAAAGAGAATACTATTTGAAAGATCAGCGCCACTACATTGCCATTTCAATTGAACTGGAGGTAATTAATCTGAAGTCTGCCTTTCCATTTGCAGTGTGATCTCCCAGGTTTGACTGGGCTGTCAGGGATTTCCTTTCCTATTGGCTTCCTAAGTGGTACTGACTACTAAAGTTGTTTGGAACTTCTTGTGTTCTGATACTTGTACTTAACTGGAGTACTTTCCATTTGTCATAGAACATAGTACGGTTACACAGTTTAATGAATCCTACTGAAACCTGGGACGTGTAGCATGGTGAGGGACATAACAATGAAGAGCTAGTGCTATAGATTAGGGTGATGTAATAGATCTGTATAGGAGGGACGTTTGCATACATTACCGAACCATATTTCAGGATTTCTTGGAAAGGAATCAAGGCAGTTAGAGGGAAAATAATCTTTTGTTTGCTTACTTAGGCGATCCCTCGAGTAGGATAGTCTTCCAGGATTAGTATTCTTGTTGGTCCGTAGGTGACTGTGGAGCCCTATTCTTGATCTGCATCTTCTCCGGCAGTCAGGGCATTGGTTTCCAGATGGAAGGCGGTCTCGGTCAGGATTGGCTTGACGCGCCTTCCTCTTGGCATGATCCCCTCTTTCACCCTCCATTCGTGCCTCTTCAAATTCTGCAGCACTGCTGGTCACAGCTGACCTCCAGCTGGAGCGCTCAAGGGCCAGGGCTTCCCAGTTCTCAGTGTCTATGCCAGAGTTTTTAAGGTTGGCTTTGAGCCCATCTTTAAATCTCTTTTCCTGTCCACCAACATTCTGTTTTCCGTTCTTGAGTTCGGAGTAGAGCAACTGCTTTGGAAGACGGTGGTCGGGCATCCGGACAACGTGGCCGGTCCAGCAGAGCTGATGGCGGAGGACCATCGCTTCAATGCTGGTGGTCATTGCTTCTTCCAGCAATCTGACATTTCTCCTCCTGTCTTCCCAAGAGATTTGCAGGATATTTTGGAGACAATGCTGATGGAGTGTGATGTCTGTAGACAGTCCACGTTTCACAGGCATATAGCAAAATTGGGAGGACAATGGCTTTATAAACAAGCACCTTGGTATCCTTATGGATATCCCGGTCCTCAAACACTCTCTGCTTCATTTGGAAGAATGCTGCTCTCACAGAGCTCAGGCAGTGTTGTCTTTGTGGAGAGGTGGCTGCCAAGGTAGTGGAAATGTTACACCATTAACATAACATTTTCTAATGTTACACCATTAAGCTGTATTTCTGGCATTGCAGAGGGATTGGCTGGTGACTGCTGGATGAGCACTTTAGTTTTCTCGATGTTCAATGAGAGGCTTGTCATATGCTTCTGCAAAGGTGTTTAGAGTGCCTTGTAGGTCTTCTTCTGAATGTGCACAGACGACGTTGACATCAGCATATTGGAGTTCTATAACAGATGATGTTGTGACCTTGGTTTTGGCTTTCAGTCTGCTGAGGTTAAATAGCTTGCCATCATCTGTCTGATAGATATTTCCACTCCGGTGGGAAGCTTCCCATCAACAAGATGAAGTATCATAGCAATGAAGATGGAAAATAAGGATGGGATGTAGTGTATATGTGGTCTAAATTCAAGATAAGAATGGTTGAACACAGTTCAGTGTTTCTGAAAACTTTTATAAACCACAACTTGTTTCCAGGGTCACTTTGCTATACCTGGTTGAGAAGCAATCCCTGTATCACATTGCCAACATTTACTGCCTTTGTAAGTTGCTGTTTTACAAGCAAGCTCACCTAGAAATAATTGCCTCAGAATTAACTGAGAATCGTTTTGCAGAGTCTTAAGCATGTTTGTTTACAAGCAAAATCCACCGAATTCATTCAGTGCGATACCCATTTAGTGGAACTAAGTGCTACTGGGGCTTACACCCCAGTAGACACAGTTAGGATTGTGCTGTTAACAGACTAAACCGATCATGGCATGTAATCGTTTCCCTGCTTCTACACAACCACAAGTCAATTCTATAGGATTCCTTTAATCCTCCATAGCCATTTTGGAAACTTCATGGATTTGTGTATGCAATGTAGGTGGAGGAAATTTAACCCCCCCCCCCCCCCCCCAGAAATGTTAATTCTACAAGATTCTGAAAAATATAGCACACTACAGTGATACTCAGGAGTTGATATATACAGGAATGAATATATATATATACACACACACACACACACACACATACAGAGATCCTCCTCTTTATGCATTGAAATGAAGTTGGAAGCTTTTAAACAGAGGCTGGATGGCCATCTGTCAGGGGTGATTTGAATGCAATATTCCTGCGTCTTGGCAGGGGGTTGGACTGGATGGCCCATGAGGTCTCTTCCAACTCTTTGATTCTATGATTCTATGATTATGTATTACTATATTCTACTATAACACTATACTGCAATATTATTAGTAATATTACATGTATATAGTCAGCTATGTATTGATAGATTTTGATTTCTTTTTTCTAGTTCTATTTTAAGATAGTTATGTTTTTATATTGATATAGCTATATTTGCATTTTTATACTATATATATAATACTTATATTTATATACATTTTATTAGTCATTTTTTATATATATATAAATTTTTTGGGGACAATAGGATTTCAGCCTTGGGTGCAAATACTAAAAGTGCAACTTGTTAAGCATAGTTATATATATATATATATATATATATATATATATATATATATATAACATTACAGCATCCTTAGTGGGATAGTCTGGGATGCTATTTTTTCCTGCAGTTATGTAGTTATGTGTGACTGTAAATCCCATAGTGATATCCATATACAAAAGGGTTTTGAGCACTAATAATTTCTGTAAAACTTTCAGTGTACCTCTGTTCTGGCTGTAAGGCAAGAGTGTACCAGTTTAAACTATGAGGAATTGATAGAACTTTCTTGATAGAAATTCCTTTGCTTCTGTTATTACTGAAGAACTGGGAAAAGTTACTTTTATTAGTAGACTACATCTCCATAATCGTATGTTCATAATAATAATAATAATAATAATGATAATAATAATAACAAATAACAAAATAGTCTCAAATATAGATTCTGCAAGGAAGCAGATGAAACAATAGATCACATCCGCAGCTGCTGCAAGAATATCGCGCAGACAGACTACAAGCAGAGGCATAACACCGTTGCTCAGATGATTCATTGGAACTTGTGCCTGCGACAAAGAACTGGTGGGATCACAAGCCTGAAAAAGTTACAGAAAATGAGCATGTCAAACTACTCTGGGACTTCCGAATTCAGACTTACAGAATTTTGGAGCACAATACTCCTGATCTCATGATCATGTTAAAAAACCAAGTATGGATCGTCGATGTTGCAATCCCAGGTGACAGCAGGATTGAAGAGAAACAAGTGGAAAAGCTGACATGGTATGAGGATTTAAAAGATCGAACTGCAAAGACTCTGGCACAAGCCAGTCAAGGTGGTCCCAGCGGTGCAGTGCCTAAAGACCTTGGCCTGCACTTAAAGACAATCGGCGCTGACAAAATTACCATCTGCCCACTGCATCAAAATCTGCGTCAGTCAGTGATATATATATATATAAGTAGCAAGGAAGAAACAGGTAAAGCTGCAAGTCAATTTTGTAGGGTGTTTCCTAGAAAATCCTACCTGGCGTGAAAATGATCCAAATAAGTCGTGGATATGTGAGCAATTTCAGCCTTCTGAATAACCCCATGAAAGATCCACATCTTTACTTTTGGGGTTTTATTTATTTTTCCTCTGTGCTATAGCAAGCATGGTAATGCAGAACGCTCACTTTCTAACAGACTTGTAAATTGAGATCTGGTGCGGAGTAGAGGTCTGAATGTTGGATTAAGATTTCTTCAGACCAGTTCAAATATCTGCTCAGCCATGGAAACCCACCAGGTGACTTTGGGCAAATTGCGTTTTCTCTGTTTTGGAGGAAGACATTGGTAGACCCTCTCTGAACAAATCTTGCCATGGTAGGTTCACATTAGGGTCTCCACAAGACAGACAATACTTGAAGGCACACAATAACAACAACAGCAAAGGCTTGTAAAAATGCTGTCCAGCAGGATAGTAGAGAAGGGATAGAGCTAATGGTGTAGCTATTGAGAAGAAGCAAAACCAGGGCATATTTCTAGTATTGTACTACAATCAACCCTCCACATGAGCTGGAGTGTGAGACACAGAACCCACTGTGAAAGTGAAAAAATGCAAATTAAGTAATTGATGGGTTGTTGTAGGTTTTTTGGGCTATATGGTCATGTTCTAGAAGCATTCTCTTCTAACGTTTCACCTGCATCTATGGCAAGCATCCTCAGAGGTTGTGAGGTGCTCACAACCTCTGAGGATGCTTGCTATAGATGCAGGTGAAACGTCAGGAGAGAATGCTTCTAGAACATCGCTATATAGCCTGAAAAACCTACAACAACCCAGTGATTCCAGCCATGAAAGCCTTCGACAATACATTAAGTAATTGATTTTCTTTTACAGCGAAGCCATCTCTCTCTCTAGGAATGTAACAGTCATCTAGCACAGGCATGAGCAAACTTTGGCCCTCCTGGTGTTTTGGACATCTTACCAGCTGTTAGGAATTGTGGGAGTCGAAGACCAAAATGTCTGGAGGGCTGAAGTTTGCCCATGCCTGGTCTAGCACAAGATAAACCCCCAAATGAAATTGGCTATAAAATTGCGCTGGAGGACCTAGACATGGCTAGAGAAGCATTCTCTTTAGGAATCTCAGCATGGTCAAAGGATATTGACCTCCAGAGTCAGTGGAGCAATGGTTCTCAACCTATTGGTCCCCAGGTATTTTGGCCTACAACTCCAGAAATCCCAGCCAGTTTACCAGCTTTTAGGATTTCTGGGAGTTGAAGGCCAAAACATCTGAGGATCCACAGGTTGAGAACCACTGATCTAGAGATTTCTAGAGAGAACACTTTAACCATTGAGGCAGGCAAAGTGATAAAGTGGATGCAAACCCAGCAAATAGAAGTTTATCCCAGGTGTGTAGGACTGGAAGGAAATTTTAATTGGTGTGCAGAATTGTTATTGTGTGTGTGTGTGAGGGGGTGATACCCTCACATACTCACACACACCCAATGATGACACTCCTTGATAGAGCAGAGGGATAACCTTCCCTTCCTATGCATCCAGTGAAGACACCAAGAAGACTTTTCCATCAGCCTGCTTAGCATCCTTGTCCACTTGTGGCTTCCAAGGAGTGACATTAGTGGTCAACCTAGAATGCTCAAGATTGGGCATTTCTAGGCTTTTCTCCCTCCTGTCACTTTTCAAAGGCACTGAGTAGCTTTGCTAAGTTGTCCTTGACTAAAGCGAGCCGTTTGTTGTTTCCAGGAAGATTGGGACCACAGCAGCAGTGGCAGTTCAGGATCCCGACCTAGTTCGGGCTCCAGGCATGGGTCTGTGCCAAGGTCTGGTGACCGAGGGAGAAGCAGCCAGTTCAGGCATTCGACCAAGGTATCCTCTGGTGCTAGTGCTGCAAGATAGATTAGGAGAGCCGGAAACGGCTTCTCGCCTATTGCTGGCTGCTCACTGTTGGCTTTGTCCAGTAGGGACACGATCTTTTCTGCGGTGTGCTGTGTGTCTGTGTGTAGTGGCGTGCTGTGTATAGAATCTGTGCACAAACAAGTTAGGCTTTGTTTCTCACTGCGGGAACTTTTTGGGTGAAGATTGTGTCTCAGGATTCTGCAGTGCTGTGAGTACTCCCTAGATACCTGTACACATTTACAGGGCATTTCCTTTTTGGTTTAATTGTCTATGCTCTGGATTTAAAGGTTTCTGGAGGGAGAATTTTTTAGCATACAATACGACCCTTATAGCTATATATCCAGGGCTTCATATGGATACATGAAACCATGGATAATTGCAAATCCTACTGAACAACCAACATCCAGCCAGAGCATAACACAGAGTTGCATCTCCTGCAAGAGAGATAAAGCAGGGTAATTATTATTATTATTATTATTATTATTATTATTATTATTATTATTATTATTAGGAGCCCCCGGTGGCACAGTGGGTGAAATCCCTGTACCGGCAGGACTGAAGACCGACAGGTTGCAGGTTCGAATCCGGGGAGAGGTGGATGAGCTCCCTCTGTCAGCTCCTCATGCGGGGACATGAGGGAAGCCTCCCACAAGAATGATAAAAAACATCAATTCACCCGGGCGTCCCCTGGGCCATGTCCTTGCAAACGGCCAATTCGCTCACACCAGAAGCAAATTGCAGTTTCTCAAGTCGCTCCAGATACGACTATATATATATATATATATATATATATATATATATATATAATTTAGCTATGATGGCACAATGGGTGGTGCAGTGGGTTAAACCCTTGTGCCAGCTGAAATGCTGACCTGAAAGTCAGCAGTTCGAATCCACGAGATGGGGTGAGTGCCTGTCTGTCAGCTCCAGCTTCCCATGCAGGGGCATAAAACATCCAGGTGTTCCCTGGGCAATGTCCCTGCAGACACCCAGTTCTCTCACACCAGAAGTGACTTGCAGTTTCTCAAGTCGCTTCTGACACGAAAATAATAATAATAGTAATAATAATCCAGCATATAGATCTTATTTGCTGTGACATACTGTGTTTTTGTGTCCAGCAACAACAACAACAACAACAACAACAGCAAATTGGGATAATACTTCTGTACACACAAAATGATGGTACCAAGTCAGGTATTTACGCTGTATCCAACAATTCTTTCGTTCTTTCCTGGAAATGTCTCAAGGAAAAGTAGAAACAGGTTGGAGATTGTACTGATCCACAATCAACCAATTTGAGCCTTACTGGAATCAGCAGCTTCAGACCTCTCCATTCTGCAATCCTTTAAGTGACAAAATGACATTTTAAGTGCTAACTACATCCATATTGAGTAATCTTACTCCTTTGCAGTAAGTTTCATCTAAAATCCAAGTGCTGTTTATTTTTCAAGTTTCCTATCCAATTTCATCACATTTTCATTGGCTTAATTGGTCAGCAGGGGCGGCTCAACCCATTACGCAAAGTAAGCCTTTGCAGTATAGTTGATTTTGCCCAGGGGTGCTCTTGAGGCGCTCTTGGGGGGAAATAGACCTTGACATATGCGAGTTGTAGTTACTGGGATGTATAGTTCACCTAAAATCAAAGAGCATTCTGAACTCCACCAATGATGGAATTGAACCAAATATGGCACACAGAACTCCCATGACAAACAGAAAATATATATCAGTGATTGGTTGGGGGGGGGGGGTGCCAAAATAGTGTTTGCTTATCATTGAATACCTAGGGCCGCCTCTGTTGGTCAGAGTCACGACTCAACAACAATGGTTTACATGGTACTAGTTATTATACTGTAAGCATGCCATCCTACTTGAAAATAATGATTTCACTCTTATTTTTTGTATTTTTTTAAACAAATAGAATGGCAACAAAGACAATTCTCTAGACATGCTGGGTACCGATATCTGGGCAGCCAATACGCTTGACTCCTTCAGGTAAGCTTGCATTTTTGATGGCACTATCCTTTCTGTTTGGTAGACCACTAACAATTGTTGCTTAGATCCAATCCTTTTAATCATACTGTTCAAAGTTCTTCTACAATTAATTATCCTATTGATGGGAACGTATAATTCTAAGCTTATAATTCAGTTTGAGCTTGCAAACTTCTGATTTGGTCAGTTGAAAAAGAAGTTTATTATTTTTAAATTAAATCTATTTATTTATTTGCAGTATTTATATTCCACCCTTCTCACCCCAAAGGGGACTTAGGGTGGATATACAGAACATACATATGCAGCAAACAATGCAATTTTATACACAAGAAAAACAGACAGTTATACATAGATAGAGGTATATCTTGGCTTTTCCCATCTTCAGCATTTTGGAGGCTTTGTGCTCATAAAACACATAAAGCTTATATTTATGTGTATTTAATCTATTACATTTAATCTATAGTGTTTCAACTGTTGTAGCCCACTTCGAGACTCAGGGAATGGTGGATAAGAAATAAAGTGTATTATTATTATTATTATTATTATTATTATTATTATTATTATTATTGTAGTAGTAGTAGTAGTGACTTCTGGTTTGAGTATTAGACTCTCACTTTTGGGATTTGGTGGTACATCTAATCTCCAGATCTCCCTGTAAGATTCAACCATCAGTATATTGTATTAAATCCAGGCCTTCTGCATTTCTTTCCATCCTTTCTAGTGGTGCCACCTGGGACTTGCAACCTGAAAAACTTGACTTTACGCAATTTCACAGAAAGCTCCGAAACACTCCCAAGCATCCCCTCCCACACATAGACAGAGAAGGGTAAGTAGATCTTTACAGCTTCTGAATTCAAAAAGGGAGGGCTGTTTCTAGAATTTCTCTAAGGTTATCAAGAATAAGGAGATAGCATTAAGAACTTCCTAATGTTCAGACCGAATCTCCTTTCTTATAGTTTGAAGCCATTGTTCCGCGTCTTAGTCTTCAGGGCAACAGAAAACAAGCTTGCTCCCTCCTCCCTATGAACTTACTTTCATGTAATTATACATGGCTATCATGTCTCCTCTCAGCCTTCTCTTCTTCAGGCTAAACATGCCCAGCTCTTTAAGCCGCTCTTCATAGGGCTTGTTCTCCAGTCCCTTTTAGTCACCCTCCTCTGGACACATTCCAGTTTGTCAATATCTCTCTTCAATTGTGGTGCCCAAAGTTAGACACAATATTCCAGGTGTGGTCTAACCAAGGCAGAACAGGGGGGGGGGGGGAGCATGACTTCCTTGGATATAAACATGTGCACACCCATCCTATTTATGTACCGAAGCGACCTGCATTTCACAACAGAGAAAGCCATGTTTTGCAACCGAAATGAATGATGTGGCTTCCTTGCTTGTTTATAGCTGCTTACAAAGCAGTCACGTCTAAGGACTTCAAAGAGTTGTAGAGCAGTCATAAAAATGCCACGTAAAATCTATATAAATAAAAATGTAATGTTCATTTGTGGGATTAACAGAACTCAAAAACCCTAAGATCACTCTGAACTCCACCAATGATGGACCTGGAACAAACTTGGCACACAGAACCCCCATGACCAACAAAAAATACTGGAGGTTTTAGGAGGGATTTATAGGAGTTGTAATTCACCTACATCCAGAACTCAAACAATGAGGGATCTGAAACAAACATGGCATGCATACGCAATATGCTCAAATTTGAATACTGGTGGATTATAGTTGATGTGCAATCAATGAGCACTCTGAACTCCACCGAAGATGAAATTGGACCAAACTTGGCACACAAAGCCCCCCCTCCCCATGACCAGCAAAAAATACTGGAGGTCTTTGGGGAAAATTCACCTTGATTTGGGGGAGTTGTAGTTCACCTACATCCAGAGAGCTCTGTGAACCCAAACACAGATGGATCTGGACCAAACTTGGCACACATACCCTTGCCGAAATTTGATTACTAAAGGAGTTTGGGGAGAACTGACCTTCCTTTCCGGGAGCTGTAGTTCACCCACAATCGGAGAAACTGGGACCTCCACCGATGATGGACCTGGACCAAATTTGGCACACAGAACCCCCATAATTAACTCAACTTACTGGATGGGGTTTACTGACTCACCATAGTGGGAGTTGAAGTTCATCCTCCAACCAGAGAGCACACTGAGCTCCACCGATAATACATCTAAAGTACACTTGACCAACATAACAAACTTTAAGTACTGATGGAGTTTCTCGGTGTTAACCTGCCATGATGTGAGTTGTAGTTCACCCACAACCTTATGCATTTTGTACAATTAAAAATGACTTTTTCAAATAACCTGGGCAATGTCAGGTACCCAAGCTAGCTTAATATAAAAGGCAGGAGGTATACAATTTCCTAGCAAGCAACATTAATCCCAGTTTTTGTTGCAATTGTTAGAATACACCCAAGAATACAACTGCACCTTTTCAGTATGTCTGCTTTGTTCAATCGAAAGCCAGGGTGCATATTGTTTTATTGTAGTGTTTACCTTTCACAAAAATGAAATTCAAACACCATTGATCTCTGTTTTTATTGCCCGGCACTGGAACACAGGTGCCACTTGGTTAATGCCAAGAGACATTAACCCCTACTTTTATTAGCCTCTTGTTGTTTAAAGAGATTTGTAATTAGCTTGTCTGACCTTCTGTCCAGGCTAGAAATAGGTATGTGTGCTCCCCTGGGCATATCTACACTCAAGGCTCATAATGGGAAGGATCCCTTTTCTATACAGTGAACTTTGAACATCGAAGTTCAAAAACTCCAGCACAGATCACAGAGGAAATTACAACCTGGAGGCAATGTTGTGATCAGACTACACACTACACATTTTTGAGTGGAGGCTGCCTCAGCCAGACTCAGATGAGTGTTGACTTGAAATATAGTTATTCCCAAAGATAGCTTACTCCTAATTCCTGGCATCCAACTAAATCTAATAATAATAATAATAATAATAATAATAATAATAATAATAATAATAATAATAATAATCTGTATTTACACCCCACCACCATCTCCCCAATGGGGACTCGGGACAGCTTACATGAGGCCAAGCCCACCAACGCAATACAATAAATGAAATCAAAAACATAACAACATAATGAATAACATAAAACATAACTATATAAAATTACAATAAAATCATTCATAAAACAAAAATCTAGATATTTCTATTACTGCTTTTTATTGTGTATTTTCTGTTATTGAGTTTATTTTAACTGTTTTGTATTGACTATTGTTATTGCTTTTGTTTATTGATGTGCTGTGGGCTTGGCCTCATGTAAGCCGCACCGAGTCCCTTGGGGAAATGGTAGCGGGGTACAAATAAATTATTATTATTATTATTATTATTATTATTATTATTATTATTATTAGGGACACAGCAACTCTAAAGCCTTTGTCATGTGATAGTGGGCTATGTGCATTGAACCTAATTAAAATGTAGTGTCCAGTGTTTGATTCCATGCACATAGCCCACTATTGAGAAACTTGCTTCACTGAGAAAGTCTTATTTCACTATATGTTTTCTGGAACCGGGTTGTTGTAGGTTTTTTTCGGGCTATATGGTCATGTTCTAGAGGCATTCTCTCCTGACATTTCACCTGCATCTATGGCAAGCATCCTCAGAGGTAGTGAGGATGCTTGCCATAGATGCAGGCAAAACGTCAGGAGATAACTCTAGAACATGGCCATATAGCCAGGGGCGGCTCGTCCATTACGCGAAGTAAGCGGTCGCAGAACACTTTTTTTGCCAGGGGCACAGAGGCGCCTCTGTAAATGCCCCTCGACTGCCACTTGATGAGCGCCTCCTCAGCTCACAACAGCTCTAGCAGTCCGGGGGGAGCATCGGCTTTCTTGCCTCACTGCCGGGCGATCCTCTTCCCAAAGGGGCCGGGCCCTTGAGCCTGCTCCACCTGGCCACTGGGTGCACGAGCAGAGCCGGCGCTCAATTGTTCTCCACGTTTGATCCCTTCCCCATGACCGGCTCCCTTTCCTGATCCCCCAGCACTCTCCACTCCCCAATCTGCGGGTGGGCCAAGGGGCGGAGAGCCAAGGGGCGCTCTCTCTTGGTCCCAATGGCTGAGGAGAAAGTCAGGAGAAGAGGTGACTTTTGGTGCACACTCCGGGTCTTCAGGCACGCCTCTGGACCCAAAGCGGGCCAGGCAAGGGAGCAAGTGCGGCAAGTGTAGTTACTGGGATGTATAGTTCACCTACAATCAAAGAGCATTCTGAACTCCACCAATGATGGAATTGAACCAAATATGGCACACAGAACTCCCACGACAAACAGAAAATATATATCAATGATTGGTTGGGGTGGGGGTGGGGCGCCAAAATACTGTTTGCTTACCATTGAAAATTACCTAGGGCCGCCTCTGCATATAGCCCAAAAAAACCTACAACAACCCAGTGATTCCGGCCATGAAAGCCTTCGACAATACATTTTCTGAACTGTTTCTGAACCAAATAACAACAACAACAACTTTATTTATATTCCACCCCTATCTTCCCAAGAGGACTCGGGATGGATTCCAACAACAAAAAGGCAAACATTCAGTGCCTGAATTTCCTACAAATATGTCTGTCTGGAATATGGTGAAGTTCAGGTAGAATCGCCTTTCCTGTTATTTGAACTGGAAAGGAAATTCCATCTGAACTTTGACATGTTCCAAAAATGGTGAGTTTTATTACCTCTCGGTCCCCACTGAGAAATGCTTTGTCCAAACATGGCTTTGAAACTAAGGTTAGGATTGGATCACAAGGAATTATCTGCTATCATAGCCACTGATGGGAGCTGAGTCTACAAAGATTGAGTGTTTTGGTTTCATAGAAACGTAGAATCATAGAGCTGGAAGAGACCACATCTAGTCCAACCCCAATCTACCATGCAGGAAAAGCACAAAGTACCCCTAACAGATGTCCATCCAGCCTCTGTTTATATATTTGCAGTGCAATTCTGTACCATTTAACAGAGAACCTTTTCTCTTAACGTTGTATCAGATTCTTTAATCTCAGGATTGGGCAACTCTGGTACATTTGGGGTCCAATTTTCTGTCTTCTGAAGTCTCTGGGGGCTACACAGACATCATCAATGCAAAACAATAATGGCAGCTACTGTGGCTAGGGGTTTACTTCTGGTGGTCATTGTTGTTTTCATATTAAATAGTCCTGGGCAAAGGGGAGCTTCCAGGAGGAAATTCGCTTCTTTCTCCTTTTGGGGCTAAAGTGTGCAATTTGGGGCAGCTGGGGAAGATAGGCAAGGAACACTAAAGCAACTTGTATAGTAACTGTCCTTTGGGCAATCCTATTTTAACTGGGAAATGCCAAAGAGGAAATTGGGGCTCACAGAGATATGCCGTAATTCTATGTCCAAGCTGCTTGATTATTTCGGTATTAGGGAGCCATGGTGGCGCAGTTCGTTAAACCCTTGTGCTGGCTAAACTGCTGACCTGAAGATCAGCAGTTTGAATCCGTGAGATTGGGTGAGCTTCCGTCTGTCAGCCCCATCTTCCCATGTGGGGACATGAGAGAATCCTCCCATAGGATGGTAACACATCTTGATGCCCCTGGGCATTGTCCTTGCAGACGGCCAATTCTCTCACACCAGAAGCGGCTTAAGAAAGATCAACTTTCAGGCAACTGGACCAGCAAATATGCCTGTGTGCTATAGTTAATTAGAATAATCTTTAAGAAGTAAGCAGACCAATAAAGTGATGTCTTGATTAATAACTTATTGGGTCTTAACTACAAATCTTGAGTTCAAATGTTAATCTAACCATAACTTTGCTAGGCATGTCTCTGAGTTTGCTTCTCTGATGCATTGTAGGGATAGTAGCTATCAATAGCAAACTGCCTTACAACTCATCTGTGGAAACCCATCGGGTGACTTTGGGCAAATCACACTCTCTCAGCTTCAGAAGAAAGCAAAGCCAAATCCCCTTTGAAAAGTCTTGCTATGAAAATCTCATTATAGGGTTGCATATGTTGGGAATTATTTGGAGGCACACAACAAAAACAGCTTTGTAGAAGTATTGTAGGACTTTCTGCAATAGTATATGCATTCACCAACTTTGTACCCTTCTGGTATGCTGACTACAATTTCCATCATCCCCAGATGGGATGAGAACAATTAGATGACGCTAGGTGTAAGGAAGACAGGGCTCTCGGTGTTCTCTTTCACTCCATAAATGTCAAAAGGGAGTGTTTGCTTCATTGAAGAGTAGTATCAATTTCACATCACTGCTTGTCTTAATGTGAAACTGACATGCTTCTTGTCATTCTGAGCAATAATAAAATAGATTGTAAGACACAAGAATAAAAGCTGGAGCTTGGAGAGGAGGACCAAGCGATCTTGTCAGGAAGCGGCAGCTATGTATCACATCATTGAGAGTCCTTTGCCTGTTTTACTTCTTCTTGCATAAGCCTTTTACTGTAAGCCAGTGTGCAATTCCATTTTCAAACAAGGTTTTAATTTTCCTTTTGTTCTTGACTCAGGATTGGAAAAGGAAAATGTGAAGATGGAGACGGAATCAACCTGAATGACATTGGGAAAGTCCTTCCAGCCTGGCAGGTAAACAAAGTTGATACAGGTGCAGTGGGTGCAATCTTGGCTCCTACTTGTTCCAGGATAAATGCATACATATCAGTTGTATGTAATCTGAAGATGTGAGCAGGATACTTGGACAGCAGAGAGCCGCCACTTGACTGGTATTTATTTATCATGTCAGGAATGAACCAAACAGTTGTATAGCATTAAACAAACACACACACACACAAACACACACACACACACACACACACAAAGTTTGCAAACCTGGTATTGGTATTCAATTAAATGTCCTTTGACCAGAAGCTGGCCACTTGGAGTGCCTCTGGTGTTGCTATAAGAAGGTTCTCCATTGTGCATGTGGCAGAGCTCAGGTTGCATTGCAGCAGGTGGTCATTGGTTTGCTCTTCTCCACACTCGCATGTCGTGGATTCCACTTTGTAGCCCCATTTCTTAAGGTTGGCTCTGCATCTCATGGTGCCAGAGCGCAGTCTGTTCAGTGTCTTCCAAGTTGCCCATTTTTCTGTATGCCCAGGAGGGAGTCTCTCATTTGGTATGAGCCATGGATTGAGGTTCCAGGTTTTTAGCCTGCCACTTTTGGACTCTCGCTTGCTGAGGTGTTTCAGTGAGTGTCTCTGTAGATCTTAGAAAACTATTTCTTGATTTAAGTTGCTGATTTAAGTCTGACATCTGCTGGGAAGTAGCAACCAATAGTGAAAAGACCAAGGCAGTGACATCTCCAGCCCATCCCCTGTTTGGGTATCAGCCAACACTTGACTGGCTAAGTGGGTAAAGAAAGTAGTGAATGCCTCACTGCAGCAAGGCAGAGTTCCATCCTGCTGGAAGAAACTGTAATGAGGCATCTACTAAAAAAAGGACACCTTAGATAAAAAAAAAACCGGAATAAGTACCAGCCGGTCTTTGATATTCCCGGCAAGGTCCTAGAACATTTGGTGGTGCCCATAGCTCCAGGTATTCCTGGATGAAATGGGACAGGACAGCTTTGGTCTCCTTTGTGGATGACCTTCACAGGAAACTGAACAGGGGGATTGTGTCCTTTTTGATGCTGCTGGACCTTTCAATATCTTTTGAGTACTGGGATTCTCCTGAGTCGTTTCTTTGAGATGGTCTTGGGTGCAATGTTTTGGTGTTGGTCCCAGTCTTTCTTGGAAGGACAGACTTAGGGCCCTTCCACACAGCCATATATCCCAGAATATCAAGGCAGATAATCTACAGTATCTTCTTTGAACTGAGTTATCCGAGTCCACACTGCCATATAATCCAGTTCAATATGGATTTTATACAGAAAGTGATTCTGGGATTCATGTTTGAATCCATGGCCATTGACCTGAAGAGATGACTCCCTTAAGGCTCAACTTTTTCACCGTCCTATTTAACTTCTGTATGAAATGGTTGGCAACAGTTATCCATAGTTTTAGAGTTGGATGTCACCAATATTCTGATGACACTCAATTCTTAGTAGTAGTAGTAAACTTTATTACGGTTGATGACCAGATCATAACAGGGGGACCCAGTCCCATACATCCACATCAGACCCAAGGGATTATATACTTCAAACTTCAACAAATTTTAAAATCTAAACTAAAAACCAATACAAGTAGTTATTAAAACCTAACTCAACCGACGAGATCATCCGATCGTAGTCTAAAGAGAGGTAGTGGGGATGGCACCCGGGAGGGGGGAATATCCAACACTATAAATATCAATCTATATCTGATTCCCAATCTATATTCCAGAGATGGACCATAGGTCTTTTAACCCTCAATCATCATCTGCCGAATTTTAATCACAGCCATGCAGTACTCAGTGACGTTGTACGTCATAGCTGAGTTTGTGTCTAAGAGCAGCAGAGCTTCATAGAATTGTCAATTCTTATTTTTCGCTTTCCCTCCAGTTCCAAGAAATCTTATCTCTATGCTAAACCAGTATGTTTTGTTAGTAATGGACTAGATGAGGCTAAACAAATCACAGCTTGGTGGCCAGGAGTGTATCTGCACCCACTCTTTGAGATCTCGGACCTGTCATTCAATGGCCAAGATCAGTTTTACCAAGTGCATCATAAAGGTTTTGCAGCCAGAACTACACTACAGCATTCTTTCACTACCCTTAAACTCACTGTTTAGGCCTTTCAGTGTGGAGAAGCATCTGGCTATGATGGTATAGCCAGATGCAAAGCAATGGCATAATAATAATAATAATAATAATAATAATAATAATAATAATAATAATAATAATAATTTATACCCTGCCACCATCTCCCCAAGGGGACTCGGGGCGGCTTACATCAGGCCAAGCCCAATGAAACATCAGTAAAAACAAAACAGCAAGCCAATAAGCAGCAAGCCACTGGGATTGTGGCGCAGCTGGCTGAGTGTCAGCTGCATTAAGATCACTCTGACCAAAAGGTCATGAGTTTGAAGCCAGCCAGGGTTGGAGTGGGTTTCCAACCAATTGTGTAGCCTGTTGTTGACCTTTGCAACCTGAAAGACAGTTGCATCTGTCAAGTAGGAAAATTAGGTACCACCTTGTGTTGAGAGGCTAAATTAACTAATTTATGAGGCCATAAAAAAGACTCTAGCAAAAAGCACTCCAGCAAAGCATGCGGGAAATGCGGAAGTACTTCATCAGTGTCGCAGATGTACGATGAAAGTGACAGCTCCCCTGGCGGCCAGAAAAAGTTAAATAGCCTCTGTGTATGTCTGTATATGTTGTATGTCAATTGGCATTGAATTTTTGCCATATATGTGTACACTGTAATCCGCCCTGAGTCCCCTACGGGGGTGAGAAGGGCAGAATATAAAATTCTGTAAATAAATACATAAATAAAAATAAAACAGTACAATTAATATAACTTACATATAAACAATAACACAGAGAGTTTAAAACCTTATGGCTGGACCAGATGTAATAAATTAATTTAAAAAAAAATAAACACTGGGTGTGAACAGAGGTAGGATGTATCTAAGCTGGAGGGTTTTAAAAGATAAAAGATAATGTAGGAAGACCAACCCAACGGGTAGTAAAGTGCTTCTGAGGACAATTGCAGAGAATTAATCAAAGCAGGGCATTGTTTCCTTATTCAGGGAAGGCACACTGAATCATTCATTGGCATTGACGAGGGTCTTCTAAATTATGGGAACATTGCATCCCCAGTCCTCCATTCCCACCTCATTCCACTCACAGCATAAGAGTGAGCCTTTTGGGATTTGATTTCTGCAAAAGGAGGAAGAGAATACCAGAATCCACCATGATCAAAAATGTTATACTCAGGCATATGTTGGACTTACACTTGCATATGTTGCTAACAGGATCTCAGCCAAAGACTCTATCTAAGAATCATAGAGTTGGAAGAGACTCCAAGGGCCATCCATTCCAACCGTATTCTGCCATTCAGGAATGCACAATCAAAGCACTTATGGCCAAGCAGTATGTGTGTAAAATCCTCCAAAGAAAACTCTTAACATACACATAATATTGTTGTTGAAGGCTTTCATAGCCAGAATCACTGGGTTATTGTAGGTCTTTTCCGGGCTATATGGCCATGTTCTAGAGGCATTCTCTCCTGACGTTTCGCCTGCATCTATGGCAAGCATCCTCAGAGGTAGTGAGGTCTGTTGGAACTAGGAAAAAGGTTTATATATCTGTGGAAGGACCACGGTGGGACAAAAGACTCTTGTCTGCTGGAGCTAGGTGCGAATGTTTCAACTGACCACCTTGATTAGCATTTGATGGCCTGGAAGTGCCTGGAGCAATCTTTTGTTGAGAGGTGATTAGATGTCCCTGATTGTTTTCCCTCTGCTGTTTTGCTGTTTTAATTCTGGCTACCAGTATTAAAAAACTCTAAAATTAAAACAGCAAAACAGCAGAGGGAAAACAATCAGGGACATCTAATCACCTCTCAACAAAAGATTGCTCCAGGCAATTCCAGACCATCAAATGCTAATCAAGGTGGTAAATTGAAACATTCACACCTAGCTCCAGAAGACCTTTGTTCCACCCTGGTCCTTCCACAGATATATAAACCCTTCTCTAGTTCCAGCAGACCTCACTATCTCTGAGGATGCTTGCCATAGATGCAGGCGAAACGTCAGGAGAGAATGCCTCTAGAGCATGGCCATATAGTCCGAAAAAACCTACAACAACCCATACACATAATAGTTGAATTATTGTGCTGTGAATTATGACCAGCGACTACTGTCCTTCTAGACAGAATGAGAGTTCCTGAAGTATCCTGGGAAGCAAAAGATTGAAACTGAATTCATGATGTCTATATTCCAAGAGTGGGGCGGGGGATGCGTCCCTACACATGCTTTTGGATTGTAACTCCCATAAGCCCTAGGCAGCAGAGCCAATAATCAGGAGGGCCGAGAGCTGCAGCCCAGCAATATCTAAATGGGACAACCCTTTATCAATCCTGCTATATTCACAACCCATTTTATGTTGCAGCAGTTCAATCGTAGCAGAATGGCTCTTTCCAAACCAATAGTTTGCCATCTGCTGGCCACCAGTGTTAAGGGAACCATCTTGTTGTGCTCAACAGAGAATGGAGGCTTCTATTAGTGGCGAGCCCTGTGTGCTCTCATTTATATGAGTGAACTCCATTAAGTGGTGACACATGTGTCCTTTCCCATCTTTGAAAGGAAATAAAATCACTGAGCATCAAAAGCTTTTTCACCAGTGCTGTTGACAGTTTAATAGACACTCTTTTTATGGTGGGCTTTTCTTGTTTGGGGTGTGCTTTAGCAAGTGATACCTGTTCAACAAAGTTATACAGGAGCTGCTAGCCAGTAAATGATGGAGTAGGAAGTGCCTTGATTTCAGTAACTAAACTATTATAGAAACTTTCAGATCTAGGCTCCCAGCCTCTGTCCACACATTTTGCAAAGTACGTTTATATTTGCCACTTTGCAATTGTTTGTCAGGTGCTTAGAGATAGGTAAGTGTTTCTGCCATCTTCAAAAGGAAGACGGGGATCCACAAACCTACTAAGAGTAGTTGCCTTG